GATCCGACGAAGATCCACTCCGATGGCCTGGAGGTGGGAGAGCAACAACGCCAGAAGGGAGGCAGCGTCCGCCTTGTCGACTGTAAGAAGAGCCAGGTACTCCGTGACCACCCGACGCTCATGAAGGAAGGTCGCGAACACGATCACGAAGACCTGGTCGTCTACGTAGACAAGGATGTAGAACGGGTTCTGGCCCAAACGAACGAAGAGCGAAGGGTCTGCAGACAACGGGAAGAAATGCAGATCAAGCTAATGTAGCACATAGCGTGTCGTGCCACTCACAGCGGTGCCTGCCGCAGGACGTAAACCGGTCGCCGAAGAAGGCACTCAGTCCCAGGAGTGAAGGTGCCAATGAAGCCTGGTAGGCGGCGTAGGTAGACCTGTTTGTGCAGACTGCCAAAGAGAAACACTGTAGAGAAGTCAAACGAGTGCAGCTCGTAGTCACACTGTGCTCTTACGTGTAGCAGTGCCCGAAGAGTGGTCATCTTCGGGGTCCGGGTCGAAGGTCTGAAAGAAGTCAACACCCTCGCGCTGGCTGAAGCCTCTAGCAACGTAACGAGTCTTGAACACCTGCGGCTCTCCAGGGGGGCGCTTCACCTTGAAGAGCCACCGGCCATCGACTACGTTCACCCCAGGTGGGGGAACTGCGTTGATGTAGGTGCAAGTGGATCTCCAAGATGCCATCTCCGCGTCCATGGCAGCTATGCACTGAAAGGCCCAGGGGTCCGAGTCACCTCAACGTAAGTGCAAGGGGTCAGGATGTCAAGGACTAGCAGCATGGAGCAAAGGTGGGGAGCGGCGTTGGACAAGAGAGCTAGCTTGTACTACCTGCCCTCCAGGACGTCTCTGCTAAGGGCAGGTGCACCCCCAACGGACGGAGGACGGCAGGGTCAGAGACCAGAGCTGTGGCGTAGTCAAGGCGGCGGGTAGAGGCAAAGTCAGGGACTGCAGTGACAAGAGCTTCAAGACTTGAGACAGAAACCGACGGGTCGGTAACAAGAGAGGCGAGAACGTGAGGAATAAGCGGACTAGCGAAACGGAGGAATTCAGAGAAGAGGAGGCAGAGCGATAACGTGCGACGACTGAGGAGGCGACGGTAGAAGAGGAGCACGAGATGTGTGAGAGTGGAGCAACATAGGGTGAGAGCGTTGAACAGGAGAAACAGGACGAGCACGAGAGGCACAGTGAGACCACCAGCGGGAGGGGGCGGTCGGGTTAGCAGATAAGGGGGGAGACATAGGAGGAGAACGAGGGGGGAAACGAGTCGGGGACGAGTTCGGTGGAGGAAACGTAGGGCCGTAGACAGGCGGAGGAGGCGGCGTTGGGACAGCTGCTGTTGCGGCGATGGCGGCGGTTGCTGCTGTGGCAGCAGCGGAGGAGACACAGGGGCGGAGACAGGCGGCGAAACCAAAGCCGCAGGGCCCCCAGAGTTAGCCGACTCCTCCACCGGGACAACCAACGGGAGGGGAGTGAGGTGAGACACACCAGACGGGGCAGGACCAAGAGGGAGAGGAGCAGGGGCTACCAGGGGAGTGGGGACCAGAAACATGGGCGGGGTAGCCAGGAGACCTTGGTGGGAAAAGCGGGTGTAGAAGGAGACAGACTTGTCAAAAGTAACGTCATGAGAGTGAAACAAGTGGTGAGACGGCGGGTTATAAAAGTGCCAGTCAGACGCGTCTATGGGGAAACCAAGGAAGACACAAGGGACGGTGCGGGCAGTGAGCTTGTTCGTTCCATTGGCATGAACGTGAGCGAGGCAGCCCCAGACGTGGAACGCAGACGCGTCACCAGGGGACCCGGTCCAGAGGAGGGTCGGTGAAACCTGCGTCCGCTGGGAGTGTGGCCACAAGTTAAGCTAGTGAGCGGTCGCGAACAGCGAACGACCATAGAAAATGGGGTGCACCGGCATGGATCATGTAGGTAGGGGCCACCTCCATGACCAAACCAATGCATCGCTTAGCGACCCCATTCTGGTGCGGGGAGTCCGGCATGGTGTACGAATGGGTGATGCCCTCCGCACAACAGAACTGGCCAAACCGATTGGAGGCGAACTCGCCACCACGGTCGGAGTGAAGACGCAGCACATGGAGGCCCCCGTGGACTCGCGCAGCTACGACCCATGGGATAAAAACGCTAGGCACGCCGGCCGTCTTCTCCAGGGGAAACATCGTAGTGTAGCGCGTATAGTCGTCGACAAGCACTGGAAATTAGCGCTCTCGATGCGGCCCAGGGATGGGGGCTAGGCCCCAAACGTCCAAGTGCACGGTCTGGAGTGGCGCAATGGTGGGGGGAAACGACGAGGAGTGAGAAGCACGACGCAGCTGGCCCTCGACGCAAGGCGTGCACGAAGGCACGGGCGAGGGAGGGAGGGCAGGGAGCGACGCAGAGGGACCTAAGACAAGACCGTGCTGGGACATGTGACGAAGATGCGGGAGAGCAGGGTGACCTAGGTAGTGGTGCCACAAAAGTTACGGGTGAGTGAGCGAGCGACACAAGCAGGCCGCGGCGACCTAGGTAGACGCAGCCACCTGGGGGGACGCCCTCCCTCAGGGGGGGTGCGGTGCCGAGCGTGAACAGGCTAAACATCGGGTCCCGGGGGAACGTGATGAGGGGGACACCAGTGGCGACCTCAATACAGACGGCGTACTGCTCGTGGCTAGGGAACGTATTGGTGACGCCGAGGTTCTGGAGACAGCCGACACTAACTAGGTTCCTAGAGAACGAGGGGATGTGCAAGCCTGTAAGGGAGCCCTAGGGAACCGCCGGACAGGGAAGGGTGGTGGAGCTACGTGCAACTACTGGACCTGAGGAGGGGTCAGCAAGCGCTACAGCGGCAGGGGAGGCAAGTGGTGTGAGCATAGCGCGGTCGCGAAAAAAGCGAGCAGACGCATCAGTGGCTCCATCTCAAAGACCGGCACACGGCGACGTACCAGGCTGTGCCAGTCGTGGAGGTCCAACGCAAGGCCAAACCAGAGACGGAAGAGGTTGTCGAGGCGGTGGTAACAGCGAGCTGTGGTGGGACCGGGACAGTCGCACACGGTGCCGCGACGGGGGCCGGTCTGGAGCTGGTACTAGCATTTCACCGTGCTGAAACTACATCCCAACGCTGAGCTGCGCGCACCGCCACCGCGACCGCCACCACCAAGGACGCCAGACCACCACGGTGGCGGAGGTCCCCACGGCTGATGCTGCTGCGACTGCTGCTGCTGCTCTTGCTGCTGCGTCGGGGCATCAGCCCCGGTCCCCTCATCGGCACCACCCTCACTCGCACCACCTCCGCCACCTCCGCCACCCCCGCCACCCCTCCCTCCGCCACTCCCCCCCTTGGGACGGCAGCCCCTGCCCTGATGAGACTGCGTGGAGGCCGCCGCGGCGGTCTCAGCAGTATGGGTTGTCTCAGCGACAGCAGCAGATACGTCAGAGTAAGAGCACTGGGAGGGAGCACAACCCTGGAAGATAGGGACCGCCACGGTACCTCTGGACTGAGCGATAGCACGCTTGCGAGTCTCTATCGCAGACAGGGTGGTGACGAACTCGGTAAGGGTGAGGTCAGCAGGGTGGAGGCCTAGGAAGCGGTCATGGGCAGTGGCTAGGCGATCGAGAAGGCGTGTGGCAAGGAAATAGAGGGCAGCGCCGATGGAGGGAGGCAGTACAGTGAGCTGAGCCTCAGTGCTAGCAGCGCGATAGCTAGTCCTGAGCGCGCGCAGGTGAGTGGCCAGGTCAGCGACAGTAGGGAAGGACGCGAGATCAGGAAAGAGCTGCGGGGAGAAGGAAACGGCTGGCAGAGAGGCAGAGGAGGGAGTAGAGTAGCGTGCAATGACAACATTTAAGAATTCCTGCGCAGTTTCTAAGGTCTGAAAGTAGGGACGCTTGGACAGGGTGAGGGCGCGACTGATAGCAAGCTGTGCAACTGCATCGCGCGACCCCCAGATAGAGGGGCAAGCTCACCAGCTGTAAAGGCCTCACGCTCAGCGGACGTGGGGGCGTCAGAGAGGGCAGCAGGCGGGTTGGGGCACGGGAGCTTACCGTCGACGTGGACGGCCAGGGACTGGCCATCCTGGCGCTGACCCCTCAGCGAGCAGCGGAGGTCGGCGAGCCACACCTCAAAGTCAATCACTCGACCCTCCGTGTCCAGGCGGAGCACCGTATCCGCCGTCGCCACGGCTACAGCAGGTGACAAGTGCTAGTGGTGGAGAAGGAGAGTGCGGTGGAGCGCGGTGGAGAGCATTGGAGAGCGATGACAAGCGTGGAGAGCGGTGTAGAGCGGTGGAGAGCAGTGGAGAGCGGTGGAGAGCAGTGGAGAGTGGTGTAGAGCGGTGGAGACGGTCGGCGGGAGCGCCGGCACAGAGGGGGGAGCCAAGGCCGGCGGGTCGGCCCGGCAGTACAGCGACTCCGTGGCTGGGCGGCGCGGAGGCTCGGCGGCTCGGTGGCATGGCGCGGATAGAGCCGGCGGCGATTGGGGTCGGCGCGGAGGCTCGGCGGCTCGGTGGCATGGCGCGGATAGAGCCGGCGGCGATTGGGGTCGGCGCGGACAGGGGCCGGCAAGCTGGGGCCGGCGAGCAGAGGCCGGCGCCGGGTCAGGGCCGAGGCGGACGCGAAGGCCTGCGGGCGCAGGGTTGGCGCGGGCTGACGAGGCGGGCACGTGCTGACGGGGCCGGCGGGGGCTAACGGGGTGCCGGGCTAACGAGGCCGGGGCCGGGGCGGGCTGACGGGGCCGGCACGAAGCGGCGGAGCGGCACGGGCTGACGGGGCGTGGGCTGACAGGGCCGGGGCCGGCGCAGGCTGACGGGGCTGGCGAGGGCTGACGGGGCGCGGGGCCGGTGCAGGCTGACGGTGCCGGCGTGAAGTGGCGGGACCGGCGCAGGAGCGGCTCAGGCGCGGACTAAGGGCTAGGGCTAGGGCTAAGATACGGGCTAGGGCTAGAGCTAGGGGCGGAAGCGTAACCTAGCATGATACCATCTCAGAATAACGCAATGATCAGAATGAGGCATACTGACAGGTTTTGTGCTATGATGGTGTACTCTCTATGAGCATGCACCTTTCTAGCCTATAACAATATATGTATATATATATATTGACAATTACCTCTTCTACCGGCCTGCAAATGTAAGCACGGCGCTAGGAATTCTCAAAGCGCTGAGGCAGCCCACTTTCAAGCCAAGCCAGCGTGACAGTTGTCCGTCAGCGGATGGATTTTCCATCCAAACGTATTTTACGACTGCAACCTCGTCGTCGACGATGCGTAAAAAATCTGATACGTTGTTTCTCTCCTAAGTGGATCGGTGATGGATTGGTGGCAGCAGATAATTCAGTCGCAGGAGTCGAAGGACATCGCATGTGATTGAGCGTTCTCGCACAACCAATCACTGGGCAGGAAGTTATTGCGGGGTGGACGAGTACAACACGTGGCAATAGTGGTGTGCGAGAATTCGTCGTCGCTTCGAACATGTCAATGCAAGCAGTCAAGCGTGCGCCCCCTTTCGCACGTGGCGCCAACTCGGATCGGTCCAGGTTTACACCAGCAGCTTTAAGAACCTATGCGACCAGCTCGGCTACTTTAACCCTGAGGAAAAGTTCGACAAATACATCGGGGGACTTCGACCGGATCTACGTTGAGAAATACAAGTGCAGGATATTGCGGATTTAATGGAGGCCTAGAGGGTTACAGAGCGGTTGGATTTGTTCTACAAACCAAGGGCGGGTTACTGCGACGGAAATCGCTCTCGGGGACTCAGCCCATAGTCTAGCGGCAATTCCGACTGACACAGCCGGAGTTATAAAATTTCTGGAAACAGCAAGATTATTTACTGGAGAAAAAAATCATCCGCCCGAGCTCCTCACCATTTGCCGCCCCCATACTGTTCACCCCCAAGAAGGACGGCGGGTACCGAATGTGCACTAATTACAAAGCACAGAACAGGCTGGCTATCAAGTCACATTACCCCATTCCGCGTGCCGACGAACCGATCGACCAACTTCGCAAAGCTCGCTTATTCTAAAAAAAAAACAAACAAACAAACAAACAAACAAAAAAAACGGCGAGGGGGGGGGGGGGGGGGGGTGTTTACCATCAGATTCGAGTAGCCGCTGCTGAGTGTTACAAGATTGCGTTTCGTACTAGGTACGGGATTTTTGAATATGTAGTCATGCCCTTCAAGCTTGCAAACACTCCGTCGACTATGTACCTGATGACCTGCACTCGACCAGATCTAGCGTACCCTCTCAATCTCTCGGCTCACTTTGTTGCGACAGGCAGGCACCGACCAGTCCACTGGTCAGCTGCCAAGAGGGTACTGCGGTATCTGGCGAGTACATCAGGACTGGGGCTTGTGCTAGGAGGACGGGAGCCAGTGGTGCTAACTGGACACACAAACGCATCGTGGGCTGATGACGTGGAGACGCTCGGGCCGTCTTAGTTCTACAGTTTTAGTCTTGGTGCTGGTACAGTCTCTTGGAGGTCCACTAGGTCATCGTCTATAGCTCAGTCCAGTTGTGAGGCAGAGATCTACACTGGGGCCATGGCCGCTCAGGAGCTCCGCTGGCTGACGTTCTTGCTCACTGACTTAGGTGAGCAGCCTAGGTTTGCCCCGGTCCTGTTTGCAGACAATAGGGCCATGATCCTCCTGTGTCAGGAGGCTCGACTTGAGGGCAGGGCGAAGAACATCCAGCTGCGGTACTTCCTGCTACGTGAGTTGCAGCAGCACGGCCAGGCTCAGAGGCCAACACCGCTGATATCTTCACCAAGGCACTTGCACGTCGTAACCATCAGCAGTTCTGTACTCAGCTTGGTCTCGTCTCCGTAGCAGCACCACTCCTTGTATCCTGAGTCATACTATACCTGCTTGTACTTATTGTTCTATACCTGCTTGTCTTGCTACACTTGTTGACTAGCTTTGTGGCCTCTTGTCTCAGTGGTCAGACTAGTAGTGCTGCCCTGAGTTGCCTTGTTGCCCTTACCAAAGGTCATACTAGTAGTGTTGCCCTGGTGTACTCTGCCTTTTTTGAATGAACTGCCACTATCTAGGCTAGGGGGTGTGTCAACAAATATATGTATATATCTTAGCTAGGTCATATTCGTTTATAGCCTAGCTAGTTTAGTTCTTAGTGAGTACAGCCCTAGTTTTGTATCCCTCGACATTTTCCCTTGGTCACAACTTTCCCCGCTACTCTAATAGCGTTCTCTATGCTCAATTTTTTTTTGTGCTCATCCCCTGACCTTCGCATCGCCGATTCTCATTGTCCATTTGAAGTCATCACGGACGCCAGCGACATCGCCATTAGAGCAGTACTGTTGCAGGACTTCGGCGAAGGGTTGCAGCCAATCGCATACGAGTCACGAAAGCTACACCTGTCCGAGTGAAACTATTAGATACACGACAAGGAGATGCTCACGATCGTGCGCGCCTTCAAAGTATGGCGGTGCTACCTGACAGGCGCGGACGTCAGAGTACGGACAGACCATCGCAGGCTACACTACATTCGTGCACAGCCATTGCTCAACCCACGACAGATCAGGTGGTGGGATTCTATGCAATCCAAATTCCACTATTCCGTCACCTACAGAAAAGGGGCATCGAATATTACAGACCCCCTTTCTCGCCCATCCGCCCATTTCAAATCCATCATCCTCGCACAAACTTCCCCGATCTTAACAGACCTATTTACCCATGGGTACCAGACGGACATATTCTTTACATCGGGTGCGTACAAACATCTCGCAACGGCTAAGGGAGTCTATCATGTAAAGACAGAGACCGACCGCATCTGGGTACCGAAGTACAGCCTACTACAGGAATTATTACTGCAGGAAGCCAATGACGGTTAGTTTAAGTGAAATTCAGAGTGGAGAATACACGACAATGATTGACCTTATATTATGTGTGGCCCGACATGCAAGGGGAGGTGCAGTGGCATATGGTTTCGTGCAGGACCTGCTAAACCATGGAGTCGTCAAAATGGAAACCAGCTGGATAGTTGCAGCCGATCCCACTGCCTGAGGGTGCGTGGTAGCAGGTGACGATGGATTTCGTCACAGGACTGCCTGCCAAGGACAACTGCAATGACGTGATATTTGTCGTCTCAATAAGCTGACGAAGATGGCTCACTTTGCTGCCTGCAAGAAAAGCATTTCAACTAAAGAAACAACCCGCCTTTTAATCTCAACCGTCATTCGCCTCCACGACATTCCATCAACAATGATTTCGGATCGAGATACTGAATTCTCCAACAACTTCTAGCGCAACTTTTGGGACCAGTTTAGCACGTGCCTATAATTATCCCCTGCTTACCACTCCGAGACTGGCGGACGGACCGTACGGGCCAATCAGACGATGAAGCAGCTGATTTGTGCCTCCTGCGATGACGTGGCCGACGGGGAGCAGCAACTGCCACTGATTGAGTTCGCGCATAATAACGTTCCGCCAGTCACTACCCGATAATCACCATTCTATCTGAATTACGGACAAAACCCTACATTAGCTATCACCATTAGTTCGCTGAAATATTACAGAATGCTCGGGAGCGAGCAGCCGAAGCCATTAAGCGCGCGAATGTTATTTCTAAGCGTAACGCCGATCTATACCGACGAGCAGTGACCTACAATGCTGGAGACTTAGTACTGCTCAACACCCAGAACCTTCGACTGCCCAGCGTCCCAAAACTTTGCCCCCGCTACTGCAGACCATTTACAATCAGCCACATTATATCTTCCTTCACGGCCCATCTACTGTTACCATCCACCTAGAACGTTAGTCCATTATCCCACGTGCGACTTTTACGACCATACATCACCAACACCAGTAAATTGCCACGCCATCGGGCCAACTTGAACATTGGACCGCTCGCCGAACCTACACTCGAACCTGCGAAGATTCATAGCCATCGAATCAAGGACCCTCGAGGGGCTCGCCTAATCGAGTTTATGATACACTATCTTGGAATGACCGGACGGCCCTGGAAAAAAACTGGGTGCCCCGGGCACAGATCGAGAATTACCCGGTATTACGATTCTTCTACCTCCAGTCACGCAACGTGCGCGACATCGGCGGACTTAGCTAAGATTGTCAAATATATCTTTGTATGTTGCTATAGACTATACAGGGTTGTGCCTTAGGGAGTACAACCCACTAGGTTATATTCCCTTGTATGTCATTGTTCTAGTTATTCTTTCACTTTAACATGGTATCATGAGTAGGTTAGGTCCCCCCCGCCCACTAGTGCTTCCGCCCTAGGTCCTAGCCGCCCCGTTCCCCTCCCGCACGTGCTGGCCCGTCTCCTAGCCAGCCCCGTCCCCTAGCTGGCCCTGTCGCCTAGCCGGCCCCGCCTCCTAGCCGACCCCGCCTCCTAGCCGACCCTGCCTCCTAGCCAGCCCCGTCGCCTCGCCGGCCTCGTCACCCAGCCGGCCTCGTCTCCTAGCCGACCCCGCTCCTAGCCGACCCCGTCGCCTAGCAGGCTCCGTCGCCCAGCCGGTCCCGTCGCCTAGCCGACCCCGTCGCCCGACCGGCCCCGTCCCCTAGCTGGCCCCGTCGTCTAGTTGGCCCCGTCGCCCGACCGGCCCTGTCCCCTAGCTGGCCCCGTCGTCTAGCCGGCCGCGTGGCCCAGCCGGCCCGGTCGCCTCCCCGGCCCCGTCGCCTAGCCGTTGCACAGCCGGCCTCGTAGCCCAGCCGGCCCGTCACCTCCACGCCTAGCCGGCCCCGTCGCCTCGCCGCCCGCGGCCCCGTCTCCTAGACGCCTCGCCGCCGTCCTCGGCCCTCTATACCGCACTGCACCGCTCGGTACCGCACTGCACCGCACTGCACCGCACTGCACTGCACTGCACTGCGCTGCACCGCATTGCACCACACCCTACCATACTGCACCTCCCTCTACTGCACTGTACAGCACTGCACCGCACATCACCGCTTTCCGCTGCACCCTACTGCCCAGTACCGCCTTTCTGCTGCTGCAGCGACCATGATGGCGGACTCGGTCCTGCATTTTGATGCGGAGGGGCAGCCGATTGAGTTTGACTCATGGCTCGTCGACCTCCGCCGACACCTGACTGGTTAGCGGCAGGACGGCCACTCCTTGGCCGTCCACATCGACGGTACGCTCCCCTGCCCAGACCCCCCTGCTGCACTACCCGCTGACCCCACGTCCGCTTACCGTGAGTTCGCTGCCGCTGCTGCCCTTGCCCGTGCTATCTGGTTGTCGCATGACGCTGTCGCACAGCTTGCAATTAGTCATGCCCTCCCCCTGTCCGAGCGCCCCCGCTTTAGGTCGGTGAGGACTGCGCAGGAGTTCCTAGAGGCTATTGTTGCGCGCTATTCCACCCCGCTGACCTCACCCTCACTAACTTTGTTGACACCCTGTTTGCCGTAGAGACTCGTCAGCGCTCTATAGCACAGTCTAACAGTACCGTGCCAGTCTCTATCTTTCATAGCTGTGCCCCTGCTCAGTGCGCTTACTCTGACGGTTCTTCTGCGGTTGCTGAGACAGCTCCGGCTGCGGAGACAGCAGCCGTATTGCAGTTTCGTCCGGATAAGGGTCGCCGCCCCAAGGCTGGGCGCGGCGGAGGTAGCGGAGGAGGGGGTGGTGCCGGTGGTGGAGGTGGCTCGCCCGCTGGTAGTACTGACGAGGGGGCTGGGGCTGGTGCCTCAGAGCAGCAGTCCCAGCAGCAGCAGTTGCAGGCGCTGTCGTTAGACCAGCAGCAACAGCAGCAGCGGCGGGTTGGCCGTCTCCCCCCCAGGTGGCCTGGAGCCGGCAGTGACGGTGGTCGCAGTGGTCGTACGCGCGGCATGCCGTCGGGTGGTGGTCAGAGTGACAGGCGCTGCCAGTACCAGCTCCAGACCGGTCCTCGCCGCGGTCTCGTGTGCGGTAAGATCGGCCATACCCCCACTCGATGCTTCCGTTGCTTAGACGACCTGTTTCGTCTCTGCTTCGGCCCGTCGCCTAACCTCCCCAACTAGCACAGTCTGCTTCGTCGTGGTGTTAGGATCTTTGATATGGACATGGATGTGATTAGCTCTACTTTGTATGTGCTGTATGTCGATGACACTAGTGTGATTGGTTCCTATTATCCTGAGTTGCCTAATGTAGGTGTGCCCAGTGTGCCTAGTTCAGGCTCTCCTGCTGCATAAAGCGTAGGATCCCCTGCCTTGTTAAGCCTTGGGTCCTCCCTCGCTCCTCCGACCTCTGTCGTCGCTGCCGCGCTCTCCTTCACCCTGGACTCCGGCGCTTCCCGATGTTTCTTTCGCGACTCCACTACACTTACGCCGCTTGCCGCTCCCGCCGCAGTTGCTCTTGCAGACCCTTCCTCCGGTACTGTAGTTACCCGTAGCTCCACTACTCTCCCCTGTCCGGCGATTCCCTCGGGCTCCCTTACAAGCCTGCACATCCCCTCGTTCTCTAGGCACCTAGTTGGTGTCGGCTGCCTCCAGGACCTTGGCGTCACCACTACGTTCCCTGGGCACAAGCGGTACACTGTCTGTACTGAGGCCGCCACAGGTGCGGCCTCACCACGTTCCCCCGGGACTAGGTGTCTGGCGTGTTCACGCTGGACACCGCGTCCCCCCTTGGTTGGGACACCTACCCAGGTAGCAGCGTCTTCCCAGGTCGCTGCAGCGTGCTCGTGTCGGTCGCTTACTCACCCGCCGCT